TCTTGAGAGAGCTACTCCTCCTGAAAGACATGCATCTGCCTGGATTTAGGAAAGGCTAATGGTGACTGTAATTATTATATAGCCTCGGGCTAAAAAGGAAGAGCATCATGCCTGTATCTCACACACACACACACACACACACACACACACTAGTACAGCTATCTTTATGGGGACATTGGATTGACTTCCATTAATTTCTACAGCCTAACCCTGACCCCTAGGCTTAGGTCCCCATAAGTGCCAGTTGGTCCTCCCAAGTATGCCAAAAATGGTCTCCACATAATAAGGAATACCTGCACACACACACACACATACACCGCCACCCACCCAAAACTGGCATCCATACCTGTGGGGACCAGGCTTTGGTTGTGTTTGTCTGGAAAATGGTCCCCACGATGTAGCAAATACACGTCCACACACACATAGACACGTAGCTTCATCAGCAGACCATAACCAGATTAAGCCCATAAATCCTGTGGCCAGCCAGGTCTAACAAAGACAGGTCAGCGATTCTTGATGCTTCAGAGGGATGTTTCAGATAGGACACATCCATCAACAGTAATAATGCAGACAGGGCTGTTGGTCTGCTGCTGTAATGTGTGTGTGTACAACTGAATCAAAACAGGCAGGGTACAGAGTTACACTGGTACCAATCTGATTCTCCCCCATTGAGCGGTGCTATATTGACAGTCAGCAGCTGGATGGAAATGTAGATATGCATCGATTCTGGAAGGAAAACGATGCACGAGGCACCAGACACACGTTGAATATATTTATAGAAGCCTGAGCGTGGCATATCGGRTTCAATAGAACAGAAAGAGGCACTAAAAAAGAACAATAAGGAAGAGAGAAGAGTGCAGAGAGGGGGGAGGTTTGTTGCTTTAAATAGAGTGATAAAAGATTACACCGGCTAACCTTAACCCAACACATAATCCCGTCTTGGTGGAGAGACAAACCAACAACAACAACAAAACCAGCCTTGATCTGGTAGAAAGAAGAGGCTTGTGTAAGACATTCAAACCCCTCAAAACGGAGCGTGTGCATGGAAAACTAGTTGCGTAAGTTGTGCGTGGTAATTTTTAGGTTGAAGGAGAGCAGCATGGCGACGTGTAAAAGCTTTGTTAGCTATGGTAGAAGAGAGGATTATGTCACTTGTGCTGAGCTGCCTGCGTCAAAGGATCAGGCCGGTGGATAAAACCAGCCTGTTCTCGCACTCTCTTTCACCTGYCAGTATTGTTCTGTCGTTTGATGGTAGATGAAACATATATTTCCGTGTTTCTTTTTCTTTCAAGAAAATGAACCCATGTGGGTAAAAAAAACATACTATTCAGAAAGACACAAAGACCACTTCTGTGCTGATAATGACTTAATTTTACAACGGTAACAATGAAGATCAATCAGAAATGGGAATGAACCTTACAAAACTGGTATCCAGCCACATGATTATTGCTTTATTGGGGACTTCATTAGCCCCGCACAAAGCAACAGAGCACAATGCAGCCCCTTTCATCTGAAGAGCACCCACTCTTTGTAAGATCTGGAGAGAACAAGCTCATTAACCTGGTTTCTCCAAGAGCAGCCTTTTGAGACCGACGTTCCGTGTGTGTGCACGACGTGGTTTTTCAATCCATGTGAACGTGCTTGTGCGTGTGATTTTTATTGTCTTTTTTTGTATTTTGTCGATCTCAAGGGAGTTAAAGGCAAAACGGGCGAGACGTGTTACCACTCCTCTTCTCACACTTCATTAACACGTTACCGTGGCACACATCTGACTAGCAGACACAACCCGGGACAAGAGAGGAGCAGAAAAAGACACAAGAGCGCACAACACCGAGAGGCATCATTTGAAATGCTTTTTTATTTGGTATTCCGTCAGAAATTGAAAAGGGTGCAAGGAAGAGGGGGATGGTGAAGAGTAGAGGATGCGTAGAATTATGGGCTGATATTCAGACTCTGTCTGGCTGTTGTCGCTTTGGTGCAATCCCTTTCATCTTGTTTTCAAGACTGAATTGATGATTAGACGTCTGCTGCACAGACTGAAATCGTGTATTTATCCCAGAAACATAAAAGATCTTGAGGAGCATCGCTCTATCGGCAAGAAACATGAACGAGGTGCCGAACTTACAAATGCATCCCATCACAAAGCCTAGAAAGGTCAAACCCTGCTTAGCCTTCAAGGCTGTAAATATAATGATTTAAAAACATAACCTGACTCAAGAAGCCACAAAAAGAGTGAGAAATAGAAAGTTTTCCTACAGTAGCAACACAACAGACAATCTTTAATAAATCCTCATTAAATTTTCATGGTGCCCCCGCCTTAATAGGAAGCTAATCAGGGGATGAAAGCAGTTGCTGAAAAAAAGAGTACGACTCGCCCCAACTTCACAGCTTGCCATTAAGCCCRTACCACCAGCACCCCACCCCCTTATGCACGCGCATACACATTATCTTTCAGGGGGCTGCGAGGCGAGGCGGGGGCGAGGCGATGTGAGTGTTTCGTGGTGAATAATGGATGGGGCCTGAGGGGATGGTGGGGCTAAGTCTTTTCATGCCGCGGTCCTAAAGTGTGGCCCCGGGCCGTTTGCACTGACACAGGCGACCAGGCGCGGCTCTGCCTCTCGTCGGAGGCAATAAAGGCTGCGAGCACGCCGTGCAGGGACTCCATCAGCATTCGGTGGGGCTGAAGAGGTCACATACACACACACACAGCCTTGTACTTGTATCAGAGAGATGTAGAACAGGAAAGCCGAGAGCAAGAAATGGAGGGTGGAAAATAAGACTAGAGACAGGGAGGAACGGATTACATGACCTACCAATAGATCTTTAGGGCCAATGTTCCGGTGACTAAATCGTAAAAGACCAGAAATCAATACCAMAGCAGACATTACGTTAGGTCCTGTCTCCCAGTCAGAAAGCTATTTATACTTTGAGAACCAAGTGTGTTGCTATTTGACACTAGCATCTATTATCTTAAGGTGGAGATTATGAAAATGAACTGAGATCTGCGGAGCCACAAATCAACCCCAACACCACGAGAATGCAAATGCTCATCTATAGGCGGCTGATGAAGGCTAATAAAAGTGTAACGCTCCTCCTTAGAGACAATAATGATGTTTCTGGAACCTTTCCTTTGACATTAAGGAGATTTTCATCTTGTATCCGACTATGGATGACCAGCTCACATTAGTGGGCGCTCACGAAGTCAAGGGAACCACCAATGGAGTCGCCGAGGCGTGGGATTGGTGCAAGACAAAGGTCAGCACGAGTGACATCATTAAAGTGTCTTGCTGCTGTGGGCCAACACGGCCTAAGGGAAACCCAGACCARTTCACCACCCACCCAACAAGGACCTGAGTTCAAGAGTGTGCGTTGTGTGTGTGGTCTGAACAGACTGAGCCAGATGCACTTTGTTGAATTTATGAGGTAGACCCCAACACAGAGCTGTGTGATCTTTGGCCGCAAGACCGAACGCACTGCACTTAYGACATTGCCTATTCATCATCAGTCATCAGTCATAAATTACAGCAATATTGCAAAATACAAAAGTGTAAAAAAAAAACCCACAGATGGTGCATTGAATGAGGCGCTCCTCTTTCAAGGAGACATTTTCCAATCCGTGTCTCTCATCCACTCTTTTCAGATCCAATGAAAGCACAGAAAGAGCGAGGGAAACAGAGAACGAGAGAAATAGATTTCCCACCCATTTTTTCCCATCTCTGCTCACACATCAAACAAAGATATCCATCACTCCCACCCCCACTTCGCCTTCCCTCACTGCGAACCAGTCACTGTGTGTTTAGCGGTGACAGGAAATCATCTACTGAGTGTTGGAACCAAGTAAATGATGGGGGCACTCCTGCATGGAAAAGACACCCTCACCCACTTAAAAAAACGCATGCAACTGTGAGACTTTTAAACCTCCCAAGTCTTGACTTTGCCTCTCCACCCTGCGGAGGCACCTGTAACCTGAGCTTGGTGCCAAAAGAAGGTGTGCTGACTCCGACCCACCCCCTTGCAGCAACGCACACCCTCCAAAGATAACTCTGTTCTTTTCCACCCAAGCAATAAAGATCATTTGCATAAAGAGTTCAGCCGACGACTCCATTATGAGCTCAGTCATATTTCAAATCAAAACAGGCGTTTCGGTTCTGAATCYTGCAGGATGGTGGGTGGTGTGGGAAAAAAAGTGTGGTGTGAAAGAATGTAAGGCTTTTTTTTTCCCCAGTGAGAAGAAAATTTAGGCTTTATTTTCAAACACAATTAGGACCGCACAGGTCTAAACAACGCAGCAGAAAAATGACTCACATTAAGCCTGATCGGATTGTGTTACCCTGAGGTGAAAATCCAGTACACAGGTCTGAACTGATATGGTAATGTTGGCATTTCCAGAGACCCGCTGTGTTTTTGAGATTAAACGCCTGCCTGACATCAAGTCAAACGTTTTAAGGATTAAAATACATGCAGCAGTAGTATACCTAAATGATCTCAACATCAAACAGGTTACCGAAAGAGAAATACAGAGCAATTTGATCTATTGTTTAATGTTGGAATCTGAGCAGCAATGCACTAAATGTGTGTCTCAAAGAAAAAAAAAAGACAGATCCATGTTTCACTTTGCTTCCTCTAATATTTGCAAGTATTTTTTTCAATTAGAAAACGTTTCATCATTTTTTAAATAGTGTTACATTTCAATAATCCAGCCTTTTAGGCTTTTTAATTGTCATTTTATAATAGATATGGTGGGAAACCACCTGATCCAGTCCAGTTACTGACACCATGCAGGCTGGATCCTTTATATAACCTGATTGTTTTTCCTTCCAGCAGCAGCTTGTGTTGAGATTAAGGTGATTAAACGAGTCTAAATGACATCGTTATACCATCTGACAGACAGATATTCATTTTTATGACCCTGACAGTTTGACTTGATGGGGCTCAGCCTCTCAGGGGCTCATCGTGCCTAATTGGTCGGTTTCAGTACCTTCGGTTGCATAGTTGTGGTCGCGCAGGAAGCTGTTGTTGATTTTCCGAGTGTCACTCTCCTCCTCCATTGATGAATCGGCTGCTTCTGGATTCTGAAAGCGTCAGACCTGCTCCCATCATCCTCCTCCTCCTCCTCTTCCTCCTGGTACCGTCAGCAGGCGGGCTGTGGGACCAGCGGGGGGGCTGTCATCGCGGCTCCCAGATGATGATGATGATCCCCCCGGAGTGAAAGCGACGCGATCGGACCCACCTGTGATGTAGATCGTGTTCGGGCAGCTCCTCCGGTCCACACCTCAGTTAAAGACACGCAGAAGTCGGAGTCGATGGGTTCTTAAAGCCGCAAATATCTACCGCGCATCAAATCAGGTCCGATCGTTTAAAAAACAATACTCCAGCATCCCAGACTGAAGAAATTGTTTCCGTTTTAGAGTCAGAACCCTGTGTCTTCAGCAGCTCCGTAAATCTCTTCTGGGGGATTTGAGTTTAGCCAGGCTAGATTTCCACCCCTCCTCTTCCTCCTCCTCCTCCTCCTCCTCCTCCTCCTCCTCCCAGTTCCAGCGGGGCGGGAGGGATTATGCGTCAACGGGCTCCCTCTGACACCTCGGCATGTCCATGTCAGACCCTCTCCAGAGTCGCAGCTTTATTTTTGCTTTTCTCCAGATCACACAGAGTGACCACCAACACCTCCTCCTCTCTCACACTCAGTCATCCGTCGGAGCGCAGCGGCGTTGGGTCTCAGCTGACTGTGCGTCTGTTTTAGCGCAGAGCTGCTGCTGCGCTTCTTCAGCAGCAGGGAGGGGAGGGCCCCGCCCCCCGTTGCTCTCAAAAAATAAAATAAACCCATAAGCATCAAGTGATGCCCATGGGGCGACGGGTATACCTAAAAGCATAGAGGATCCAAACCTTGTACTCAACTAGTACCTTACTATTTAAAATTTAAATGGTCATCAGACTGACAAAAGATAGACAAGTATGTGCCAATTCTGGCATTTTTAAAGACCAAAATTGTGAAAATTGAATCAAATAAATAACTAAAAATTCCATATATATATATATACACTCACCGGCCACTTTATTAGGTACACCTGTCCAACTGCTCGTTAACAC